TCTTTATCTCTAACTTCTTAATATTTTGTTTAGCCTTTAAAATTATAAACAGGAATTAAACATTTTAATAAAATGTTGTCCTTAATTTGGCTCGAACTACAAGACATGCTACGTAAGAAACATTCAATAGCAACACAAACGGAATAAACTGAACTGTCATCTAGTCTGAAGTCGCTTTCTCACAGACGTGCCGTCGCCTCCCTCTGTCTTTTTTTCCAAATACTTTCACGGTAACTACTCCGATGAGCTGCTATCGCTGGTTCCCAGACTTCATGAATTTCAGCGTTCAACTAGGCTGGCATCTCGCTCCCAACCTTTCACTGTCGAAACTGTTAAATATAGCCGTCTCTTCTACTCCAATAGCTTCATGTCTCGCACTTCTCGCCTGTGGAACTTCCTCCCCTTTTCCTGTTTCCCTAATACCTATAATCTCCAACTATTGAAATATAATGTCAATCGACATCTCCAGATGCCCTGATCTATCCCCTATCCTTCTCCTCACCCTTTCCTCTATCACTCCTCTTTGCTCTCGCTCAAAATATGACCCCTTGCGTGCTGTTGCTTCTGCCTTGCTTGGGGTGAAACGCTTAAAAAATGAATGAAATGTTTTATGAAATGTTCAGATTTTTTTTTAAAGTGACATAACAAAGAGCTCTTAACAGCTTAGCTGAACTAGAAAATAGTAAATGGAAAGAAATCGTTTTCATCAAATCTTGTGGGATTAAAAATAACATGGATTATAGATCTTATGCCGATAATACATAGCATTTACTTCACTGGTATTATATCTAGATGGGTCACTCTAAATGATATAATGCTGTTTCATCATGCCATCTTTCCTCATTATGTACCGTAGAATTTCAGTTGTATCTATCTGGTTCTTAGTATGTTCATTTTATTTATATTTTTCTAAAACTTCCTAACTGCTCACATGTTCAGTCCATGGTATTCTCAGCATTCTTTTATAGAATCACATTTCTGTTGGTCCAAGTCTATTCTTTTGCGAAGATAATCTACAGAATTTACTACCATATAGAAGGAATTATATTACATAAGAATGCAGCAGTCTTTTTTTTTTGTAAAATATTTTTCTTGTTTCTTAAGGTTGTAATCTAGGAAAGGTTACTGAATACAATAATCAAACGAAGGTTGCTAATGAACGATAATACTTATGACACTAACAACACATATTAGTTTCTCCAGCGGCACGTACAAGAAGTAGTCAACTGCTAGAAGTGAGCCAATGATTCTCCAACAGCAGGAAATCTACCAACCGCACCACGCGGTCAGATATGGTACAAGGCCGAATTTAATGTATCCGTGCCCGTAGACTCGGCCAAAAATTCGCCGTAGACCCCGTATAAAACGGGGTCAGGTAACTTTTTCCCCGAGACTTGACTCTGCCCTTTGACATAGTCTATGGATCATCTCTGCCCGGAAGCAGAGAGTTTGAATAGCATAGCTGGACATCTATCTTCAACTGCAGACCAACATACAGTATTTACTACTATATTTATGTGAATGGAGACATACCCATTATAGTCCATAGTTATGCTACAACACTTAATCCTTTGCTTAGCATTTGAAAGACATATTTCGTTATTCCCAAGTACATTCGTATTTCAGTGTCGTACTTTCAGTCCGCTTCGTTAACATTTTGTACATGCTTGGTTTTGGTGTTTCCAATTTGTAGTTAGCAACTTAGGTTGTTGCTTTTCCTAACAACCATATATTCTTTCTTTCTTTCAATTTATACTTAGTCCTTTCTTCTCGCATTCCTTACCTAATTTTTTGGAAGGCCTGTATGAGTAGGCTATCATCTATTTTTAGATTGTTTAATATTGGCAATAATGAATTCTGGTAGGACTTATTTTTCTCTAAGAATCGCCTTGCTATGACCTAACGATGTTAGATTTACGATTCACAATTGAAATACAAGAACCTGAAGTGCGAACTGCTTTCTACGGTTATTTTTCCAAACATTATGCGCAGCTGTTGTAAATAAAAGAAGTGATTTAACCTAAGTGTAGATGGATAAATTGCAGGTTCTTGGGTGGAGTGATCGTAATGTGTGACGTGTACATTGAAACCAGATGTTTTCTAATGCATGTGCTATTCGAGATTACATATTTGCTGAGTATAGGATTATGTCTTTGGCAAAATAGGTCGATAACTCTTGCTACATAAATAAATTAATGTAATTTAGTACGTCACAAGACCCATCTGTTGAAAGTCGGGTGGCTTTTTGATGCATCCTCCTCAAAAGCCATAGTCTGTACTTTTATTTTTGTTTTTGCTCCTTTCAAGAAGTAATACATCCAAAGTTTTTTCATAATATGTGAATTTGCTTGTAATATTTAGGAAGACATTGGACAGAAATTTCATTGTAAGGATACAGAAGGCGCCATTTGGTAGAGATTAATTTCGTAGGCTACATGACATCCTCTTTGGGACATCACTTAGTAGAGTGAGGAAAGTGGCATCAAAATTCATTTAGTTTTACAGCAGCAAATCGAAAGGTTACTTTCTTTAGCCTTGTCTAAAGAGCACAAGATGGGGATAAATCTGGCTCCACCAGCAATCAACAAATCCATGGTGCTGTTTCCCTTTGGAAATTTATATTTCGCATTTATAGAGTGAAAATCCAGCTCGCAGTCCTCAATTCGGAAAAAAAACAAAGACTTGCTGTTTCACGTTCATGAAATATGTCCTTGCCTGGGACATAGATGAATCCGGCCCATTTGAATTTGCAGTGGTATACATGGCTTCTCCAGACAGGTGTATCTTCATATTATATGTAAGACACTTCCTTTTTATTTCTCCTTAAACTATGCTTGTTGTGTAGATATATTCCATACAGACAATAAATTAGGGTGTTATTATAACACGGGTACAGTAATATTCACAACGGGGCAAATACAAATGGGAGAATAAATCATTGTACCATGGCTCTTCCTCGTTACACGGTTACCTACTGCAGTGTTTTCAGTTAAGATTTGTTATTTAGACAAGGTCTGATTTGCTGTTTTCCTGAGTGCGTGAAAAAGGAGAGATGTATTCATGTCTTTACCAAAGCCATTGATGGGAAAGTAAAGGCAAGACTCTAAAACTAATCATGAACGCGATTTTAGATTCTCACCGGCAAACGTTACGCTATACGATTTATATTATGGAAGCCTTAAAATATAAAATTAGTTTACAATGTCTGAATTTCTGAGAGGAGGTATTGTCATTATTTGCCTTATTTACATCGTTCAGACTGTTGCCGTCATCTTTATTATCATATTCACAACCTTTCGGTAGTGCTACGTTTGTACCTTCTTCAGGTGATATTTGATGGAATTTCGAACCGAAACATTTATTTAGTCAACGCGGGTAGATTGTTCTGAATTTTCATCGAATTCTTTTGGATATCACTGTTTTCAGGTCAGGATTGATTGGGTCAAGATACGTTTTTAGATCTATCAACACTATCTTTATGCACTGGGCTATGTGTCCTTTGGGATATTATTGAATGAATGTTTAGCATATGCACTTAATATCTTAATCAACTGTTTTTATCTTAGCTTATATTAGATGTGTTTCTATAATTATTCATAATTTTCTTAATTTTCCATAATTTTCATAATTTTTCACATGATTTGGTATTGTTGTTTTTCGCTGTCTGTATCTGATGACAGAGAGGGAAAATAGAAAAAAAATCATATATAGCTGACCATTTATGGGAAAAAAGAAGATCACTGCCCCTTTGTGGAATGAATTTGAAATAATAGAAAGAGAACATCACTGGGAGATATGAAAACTTAAGTAATCAGTGTATATGCTATAATACAAACATCTTCTAAACAGGCAAAGTATAGAAATGAATACAATAAATGAACCAGTAATACTGAGAGATAAATAAATACAACAATATTAAGTCAAGTGAAAAATTATTTTAAAAAATTGTAATATGAGTTCGGGTAAAAAAGGTTAGGTTTATAAGTCTCACTGGTGTCGCCAAAGACATAAATATTGAGAAAACTAATCTAAGTAATCTAATGTTTTAGGTACTTTGTTTTTAAATTCACTATAGATACTGTACTTATTTTTTGCTGATGTCCTGCATAGACGTCCATATTTAAAACATTCAGCACGTTTATCGACAAACACAAGCTTTCAAAATTCTTTTCGAAATAGTTTCGGTAAGCTATACTGTAGTAATCTTTTCCAGTTATGTTTAGTAAATATAGATTTACTTAATATCACATAACGGGTACAAATTAATGCATAATTTTAAAAGATTTAAAATTTCATAAAATATTCTAATTAATTTTTTAAAAAATGAAAACGATTCTTGTAAAAATGCATTATTCATCGCAATAAAATTGTTCTTGAGATAATAATGTCAAGGAAACGAAAAGGAAAAAACAAAAACAAAAAAAAACTAGTAAACAAATACCCAGCGGACAAAAACCCAACGAACAAAAACTCTGTGAGCAAAAGACAAATGGACAAAAATGCAGCAGACAGAACCAGAGCAGACACAATCTCAGTGGTCAAAAAGTCAGTGGACAGAAACGCAGTGGACAAGTTCCCATCGGCCAAAAAAAAAAAAAAAAAAAAAAAAAACATTGGACAAAAACCCAGTGGACAAATTCTCAGCATTCACAAACGCAGCAGACAAAAAAAAAAAAAAAAAAGCACGCAGCGAAGAACAACATGGCGAACAAAATCCCAGCAAACAAAATCTCAGATGACAAAAAGCCCGCGGAAAATAACGCCAGTGGACGAAAACGCAGTGGACAAAAGCCATACAGACAAAATTCCAGCGGAGAAAATCCCAGCGGACAAAAACCGAGTGAACAAAATCCCAATAGACAAAATCCCAGTGGACATAAACCAAGCGTACAAAAACCCAATGGATAAAACCCAGCAGATAATATGCCTGCAGAAAAAAACCCTTCTAACAAAATACCAACGGACAAAAACTCAGCAGACAAAATCCCAGCGGATAATACCTAGTGGCAAAAATCCAAGCAGACAAAAAGCCAGCGGACGAAAGCCCCATCGGACAAAATACCAGGAGAGAGAAACTCAGTGGACAAAAGCTAGAGAACAAAAAAAAAAAAAAACATAGAGGGCATAATCCCATCGGGCAAAATCCAAGCCTGTTATCCCAAATGTGAACAAAAATCAAGTCTCATAAATAAATTGAAAATTCAAGACACTTTAATACGAAATTTATTGGCAAATGGAGACTTTTTTTTTCAAATAAAGCCTGGTCTTAAGGGATACTAGAATTTTCTCATTATGAAATATTTTGAATATGTGACCGAATCATTTTTAGAAAACGATTTTACGAATTAACCTATCTTCGAATAGGAAATCCGTGGTTTCTTCACATATTGGCGCAAACTTAAAAAAAACACAAACTTCTTAATAATTTTTTTCGCATACAGTCGAGTCTTATGGAAGATTAGGACCCAATAAGTATGAAATATATCGAATATGACCATTAGAAATTGTTAGAAAACTTTGTATCGATTTACTATGAATTACTTTTTCAAACAAAACGAACCTATAAAATCGTGAAGTAGCCGACAGAAATAGATGAATATTAGCGACCACTATAAATTAATTGTGACTTTTCTTCCAGCTAAAATGGTTGCTTTTTCCATGATATTTCCTGTGACTTTATGACCGCCTCCGAAAAAAAACAAAAAAACGTAAATTTTAAAATGTCGATTATTTTTATCTGCTTGGGATACCGGAGAAGAATTTTAAAAATTGAAAAATCGAAAAGATGTTCGATGCTGAGTGCTCCAAGGAAATGTATTTGAGTGGATTCGTTTCAGCTAAGTAAGGGAAGATATAACTACCTCTTCTCTCAAGAAACCGCCAATGATACTCGCTTACATGGCTTCTGTTATAATACATTCAGTTATAAAACATGGCTTCGCTGATAGTCGTATATAACTTGTGTAACCTCAGGCGTCCATTGGGGATAAAATATTGTGTCTTTGTAGAATTGCATCATATCGTAGTAGAATTGCGTAAAATAGTCTGCTTTTTCTCTTTTAGAAATTCATTGAAACATAATAATGTAGACAGATGATGATATGGAAAAGCAAAATTGGTCATATAAATTTGGTCTCATCATATATTATATTAAACATCAGGGAACATATTACACGCTCATATTAGCCTACGAAATGCACTTTTTAAGTATCAGGCTACGGTAGGCGCCTAACAAGCAGATTCCGATCAGAGATGAAACTGGATTTAACTTGTATTGTTTAACGGAACATCAAAACTTCATGGGTCATTTAATGCAGGAATTGAATTTCCTTGAGAGCGTTGAAGTAATAAATATATAATATATATATTATTCTGGTTTCATAATTGAATACATGGTAGATGATGCTCAAGTATTTTACATATAACTGTTTTGTGATTAAAGGCGGTGATAGGTGTTTTACTGTAAGGCTTCATTCCTTTAAGAAATTATAGGATATGTCATGTCCCGGAAAGTGATCTATTTGTTCGAAGTAGCCAAGTGGTAACCAAGTAGGACAATCTAATTTTGGAATACAACAATCATAGGCAATAGGCAAAGACAATAGGCATCGCTAATATTTGATTCACTGTATTTATATTTGACACCATGGCTGCATATTCATTTCATCGGGGCATTATATAGATTAAGATGAGAAACTTTCATGTTTGTTGTTTGGTTATTTTGTTTGGACATTTAATGCCGAAATTAAATATTTTGCAAATTTTGCTTCAAAAGATGAAATATATTGTTGACATAATTGTTGATAATAAATATGTATTGCTGGATGGTAGACTTTTAGCGGCATATCAACACATTTATGGGTTATTTAATGCCGAAATCTAAATATTCTGAATACAATTTTATCGCTTCAAGTACATATACAGTATATGTTTGGTCATTTTGTCAGAATATGTATTGTTGGTAATTTTACACTAGATATGTATTGTTGGTTGGTTGATTTTGTATAGAGGCATAACAATATCTCTAAGGGTTATTTAATACTGAAATATAAATATTTTGAACAAACTTTTATGACTTCACCTACATATAAACTGTATTGTTTGGTCATTTTGATTTGAATATGTATTGTTGGTAATTTTACTATGAATATGTATTGTTGGTTGGTTGATGATGTTTAGTGGTATATAAAAACGTCTATGGGTTAATTATGGCGAAATCTAAATATTTTGAACACAATTTTATGGCTTTTATGACTGTCATATCTTTGATAATTTTACTATATACATGTATTATTTGTATGTTTTATACAAAAGTCTATTTTTATATATTCATTGTGTTTCGTTTTTGCATTAGGGTTCAATATTTGCCTATATTTGGGCTTGGAAACGACAGTAATTAAATAGTAGTTCTATGCTGATGGAAAAATTCAATCTTCCCATCGGAGCACTTGCTGTTGGATGTAGTTTATCGTCATACCCAGGAATAGAGATGAATCATTAAACTTATTGCGAAATAACAATAACGGCAAATATCATGGAAGTATTTTTGTTTTGTTTTAAGTTTTAATCATTTCACTCCAACTAAAACGATGACGCCACTAAGATCCAAAGGGTTACTGAGAGCGAAATATTCTCACTAGAATAAACATTAATAGGGAGGCAGGAAAAGTATAAGAACAGGATTCAGTATAACAGAAGATAAAGCTTGAGACTGCTTTTAAATCTCTGAAGATAATATTTGAGCGGAAAGCTAGTAATCGGAAGAGATTTCCGCTATGAAGAACACCGAAAGATGAATCTATTAGCAAATAACTTCTGGTTTTAGCCTTAGCATGATGAGACCTACCTGCGAATCTAGAACTGTACTTAAATTCGTAAAGTCGACTTATCCAAGAGGAATCTGTATCAGGACAATTAACATGGAAATATTTTTAGGAAAGGCACAGAGAAGCTAGGTTGCGGTGGAAGGAAAGTGACTCAAGTTGAGATGATGTCCGATAACATATCAAATTATTTTTTGGATTTTGTCAGGAAAGTCTAGATACATAACTGAAGCACCAGACCAGATATGACAGCAATATGCAATGCATGGATGAATGGTAGAATTATACAAGAAAAATTTCTAGAAAGACAGATTGAATAACACTTCCTAGCAACAGACCCAGTAATTGATTCAATATAATTATTCCACGTATTGTCAAGGCAGTTGAGAAGTCGTAATTCATCGTCTTTCTGGAGGTCATCATAAGCCATTCTGTTGGAAAGTAGAAAGGTTTCTTTAAATCAATTAAAGGAGAACATTTGCGTATTGAAGTCGTTTAAATTAACAAGCAATTTCTTGCCCCAGTTAACAACATATTGAAAATAATTTTTGCGATAAGATACAAAATTGACCTTATTGTACTTATATGACTGGCCATTAAGGCAAGAATAAATAGTTGTATTATCAACATAGATACCGAGTCGATAAGTTATGTCATTGGGAAATTCAAAATTTGAAGCAAAATGTTTAAAAAAAAATAGCGCGTTGGAGAGGGGGACTTTAATGTAAAGAAAATCTAGAAGGATGACCGTTCAAGGCAATACTTTGCGACTTGATCAGAAAAGTGAATCAGAAAATTCCAAAATAAATCGCAGATCATGAAGAAGTCCAGCATGTGAAACACTATCAAACACCATCAAGATTCAAAATCTGGAAACAGGCGACTGAATGTCTACTGATAGCTGCCCATGACCAAGTCCTGAATACTAAATTTATCTGTTAGAGAATCTATTAAAAATTGAATTTGGACATGTTTAGACTGTGTGGACTGAAAATGGAAATTACCGCCGATTAGTTACATTAATGCATTTTGTGCAATGCTTGCGTATAAAGAATAAACGTGCCGTCATGACAAAGTTGCCTCCTATCATTGGTAACTATATATAGGTGGGTATATGTCGGACAGATATTGTACCAGCACAAACTAGAGAAAGTGATTAAAAATGACGAAGTTATCCTTGGGAGCATAAAACCAGAGATCGTTGTCACTGAAAAATGAGAAGCTGCTTCATCTGTGACTGATCTGTGGGAATACAGGTAAACTATATTGGCAAACTTGAATAGTACAATGTTAGCAGATTGAGAGAAACATAATATACGCACATTCAGGCTACAACTGTCGGTTGGGACGCGACGTCTCTATTTCTATACGAAATAGTAAAAGTCATGTGTAAAACTGGCGGATATTCTTACTTTTATAAAAACAATAAAAAGATAAAAGAAAAGTATTAAATTTTACAATTTATATTCTTCTTCTTTCTATTTTATGCGCCTTGTCCCTTCAGCACGTAGGTGATCATGGCTCTCCACTTCCTCCTATCTCTTGTAGCTCTCAATAAGTTTCGTCCCTCTGACACCTCCCCCAAACTTGCTTAAGCCCCTCAAGTTATATCATGCGTTTCTTTCCCTTGTCTCCCTTTCTCTCTATTCGACCTGTGAGTATCAGATTCACCAGGCCCTACTTTCTCATTACATATCCCAGAAACTTCAGCTGCCTCTTCCTGATGTTAAGTATAAGCCGCCTCCTTATCTTAATCCTCTCTAACCGCTCAACAATGATATCCTCAGTAGCCTTCTGTAGAACCACATTTCTGTTGCCACAAGTCTGTTCTTCGTCTTTGAGGAGACCGTCCAACATTTTCTGCTGTAAAGGAGGACAGACGTCACGTAACAGCTTAGTATTCTTATACAAAATAGTAAAATAAACTTGTGTAAAATTAGTTGATTTTACTATTGCCATACAAAACATTAAATATAGTGATTAAAAGTATCTAATTTTACAATCTATGCATAAAAATAAAAAGTATAATATAACATGGTTAGATTTAACTATTTTTATGCAAAAAGTAAAAATCTTGTGTAAAAGTAACTGATTTTCTTATTTTTACATAAAATTAAAATATAGTGTAAAGTATAGTCTATATTCAATTAGTCTACTGGAATATTCTCCAACCAATCCTCGGGATCTAACTACAACAGAGATTGTTGATGTTCCCATGTGCAACATTTTTGAGATATCTATTTCAAAGTCCTTTGTATTTTGGCAGTTTTTTTTAATGTCTTCAAAGATACATTGCAATCTGCAGAGACTGCCATATCAATAAGGAGGCACCGTTTTTGTGGTCTTTAATAACAATGTCTGGGCAGCTGGCCTTGATTGTTCTGTCATTGGGATTTGTGTAGTTCCATAGAATTGTAACAGGTTCTATATCCGTAACCGGGTCTATTATTATTATTATTTTTATTTTCTTTGATTTCTGGCGTTTACACATTTCTTTCCGGGTCCCGCCCAGGAACCTAAGGTTAGAAATGGCGTCATGACACTTTCCACTGACAAAAAAAAAATTACATAGATAAAGCCCTTCGTAAAGTGTGGCTGTACTTGTGAGAACAATTTTTTGTATCTCCTTGAGGCATGGACTTTCAGGAATCCGTTCAATTAGTCTACTGCAATCTTTTCCAACCAATCCTAGGGCTCCGACTACAACAGGGATTGTTGATGTTCCCATGTGCCATATTTTTTAAATTTCAATTTCAAGGTCTGTGTATTTTGACAGCTTTTTGAATATCTTCAAAGATACATTGCAGTCAGCACGGACTGCCATATCAATAAGGAGGCACCGTTTTTGTTTGTTTTGTTTTGTTTTTATTATTATTATTATTATTATTATTATCACACAACCAGAACCTCGTTATGTATTGCCAAATTTTGATATTTTCCATATGGTAGAGAAATATAATAAATGGCATGGGCAATGATTACCTATTTGAAAGTCGTATATAATGATGATGTCATAGAATCAGGAATTCACATTCCAAGGTAGGTAGGTATCATTTGCCTACTTAAGGTATATCTTTGTTTGAATCATTAATAAAATATATATTAGACTACTGAAACTGTGTCATTAAATTCGCTTAATAAATTGCTTTCCCTTGACGCAAACGTGAATTACTAGTCCCTACATTTCGTAAACTGATAGGACATGCAGTTAAGTATTTTCTGGTGTGCCTATTCTTTAACTTCGTTTGAAGAGATAATCTAAGAAGACGGATCTGTCATGGACTTGGGTCAAAGAAAGATATTCAAAGTTTTCATAAAGTTTAATATGAGTAGATGTTCTTTTGAACAGAAGTGGAGGTGTATACCTTGTTTCCTATTTACGATTGGATTTCAGGATCCTTATACACTCTACTTTAACTCTATAATTCTAACATCTCTGAAATTTTATTTATTATCTATTTATTTTTATGGGAGTAGATATGTTTGTCTATCATCCATTTTAAACTCTACCCTTGTTATTGAACATGCATTGAGGTTTATCCTTTGTTTCTTGTTTAGGATTGAGTTTTCTGGTCTATTCTAAAGTCTACTTCAACTCTAATTATATCGCCTCTGCCAGAACTGTGAAATTTTACTTAATATTTATTTCTACCTCATTAGGAATAGATAGGTTTAGTTACCATCTGGTTCTTCATCAGGTCTTTAAATACGAGTAGAGGTTTGTCCTTTGTCGCCATATCTATTACGTTTCGGCCTTTCAGTATCTGTCTATTTTTCTGAGATGAGGTATTATGTACACTATTTACATTATTCGGACTATTGTCCTCATCTTTGTCGCCATATTTATTACAACGTTTCGGCCTTTCAGTATCTGTCTATATTTCTGAGATGAGGTATTATGTACACTATTTACATTATTCGGACTATTGTCCTCATCTTTGTCGCCATATTTATTACAACGTTTCGGCCTTTCAGTATCTGTCTATATTTCTGAGATGAGGTATTATGTACACTATTTACATTATTCGGACTATTGTCCTCATCTTTGTTGCCATATTTATTACAACGTTTCGGCCTTTCAGTATCTGTCTATATTTCTGAGATGAGGTATTATGTACACTATTTACATTATCCAGACTATAGTCCTCATCTTTGTTGCCATATTTATTACAACTTTTCGGCCTTTCAGTATCTGTCTATATTTCTGAGATGAGGTATTATGTACACTATTTACATTATTCGGACTATTGTTCTCTTCTTTGATGCCATATTTATTACAACGTTTCGGCCCTTGTACTCTCCTTAATGACACATGGAACAATGGATAAAGGTGTTGGTTAGATCCAGTGACAATGCCCAAAGGTTTGTGAGTTCAATACCTGTTTAAGGCAGTGGAGAATTTGGAGAAGTGAATTAACAGGAGCGAAATAAAGGGTTCAGTTCGACATTCCAACCACCTGAAAAAGACCGGAGAGTACAACGACCGAAACTTTAACATAAATATGGCAACAAAGATGAGGACAATAGTCCGAATAATGTAATTGTGTTAATAAATTCTATCTATTTAGATCTTTCTGAAACTTTTATCCGCCATCTATTTACTAAAGCTCGCTACGTAGGTTATGCTTCTTTTTCTCCATCTGTCTCACTTTCATTCAATCATTCTTGTTGGTATCAATTTTTCCACACCCTCTTTCCTCATTATGTGGACGTTTCAACTATCTCTTTATGGTGATATGTATAAGCGTTCTTTTTGCCCTCCCTTTTCTCTAAAACTTCGTCGTTGCTCACAGCTTCTGTTCGTAGTATTCTCAATAAATTTTCTCTAGAACCGCCTTTCTGTTTCTTGTAGTCTCTCCTTCATCTGTGAGGAGATTGTCCAACATTCACTGCCATAAGGGACGACCGATATTATATAATTGTTCAGTACACTTTTATGTATAAACAGCCGTCTCTTAAACATTTTTCCGTCATCCATGAACCCTTGCTCATTAGATAGGTTATGCATTGTATCTCTTCCCTTTAATCTGTCCTGTGAGTATTTAATTTTCTAGACAGTCTTTCCTCATTGTGTTCCCTAGATATTTCAACTTTCTCTTTCTGGTATCCAATTTTTTTACAGTTTCTCTAAAACTTCGTCTTTGCACAAATGTTCTGTTCGTGGTGTTCTCCATATCTTTCTTTCGAACGACCTTTCTGTTGCAACAAGTCCATTCTTCATTTGGGAGGATATTGTTCAGGAGGACGGCCATTACTTAACATTTCAGTGCTCTTTTCTTTAGAAACAGCCATTATTTAGATGTCAGCTATAAAGCTGCATTCACGTATGGATACATGAACGAAAGAACGGACAGTTTTCACCATTGCTTGCAAGTTTGGAACAATTCCGTAGAGACAGGTAAAACGGAATGCACAACGAAGTATCGAAAATATTCAGATATCAACACTCTATAAAACAGAATGCTGAGTGATTGGAGTATTGAAAAGTGCAGTCAATTGATGCTCGCTTAATGACATTCGTTTACAAAATAATAACAGCTACATTATTAACTGAGATACATTTCCAAAGACAGAAAATGTTCCTGATATAAGCTACTCCCGTAGAATGAATGACATAAAACATTACCCTAATAGCAGGAAGATTCAACTAAAGTAAACCTGAGTAGTCGATATTATATTTCCGCTATATAAGATAATAGCAGAAATCTATCATCCAGATTAGATACATGAAATCTTGCCACTGGAAAAAAAAATGATGTTTTCATAAATTAAATATCAGTGAGCAAAGCAAAAGGCTTTTATTTGTTTTTTTTTATGGTTTATCAACCCTTCGTAGGTCATTTAATGCCGGTATATATTTGAGTTTAAAAGAGGTTACTTACATTATCCGGCGTTCACAAGCGACGCTCTATCTAACTACTCCCCAAACTCTGTTTAACACTGGAATTGGAATACTTTTAAACAGACTGCCTACAAGGTTAATTATAGCAGTCTATTATGTTATTTACCCCATAGATGTGACAAAAAGCTATAGATTTTTGATCTTTCTTTTGTACAAAGTGAAGGCAACAGCCTAGGTCAGAATTTGAACTCGGTACGGCTATTCCACTTCTCTTGCTTACTATTACATTACTTGCTAAATTGGATTAATATTGGGATGTAAATATCTGATGCAGTGTCAAATCTGTTGCAATAATCATTTTTTCCGTTAATGTATTTAGAAAGTTTTAATTCATACTTCATGCTACCTAACGTAGAAATGTTGTCTTCAGTGTGATTTCACCGTAGGCGTATAGAAGATAAATATTATCAAAATATGGTTTACAAGATGAAAACTACATGAATCCATGAGTCTTGATTCAGGAATATATAAGCATGTACCGAAGTAAATAAAATATGCAAATAAATCCGATATTCAACGCGGGGATTGGAATTTCGAATACATTTACTGTCTTTCTTTTCCCAGATCGGTTTGATGCGAAGACGCCAGAATTATAGTAATAACAGTAAATTTTATATGTTTTAAGAAAATATCGCGAGAACTTCTCGAATTAGATTGTCTCTGAACTCTCGTGCCGTATCTTACGCGTAACTGAGTTTAAAACGAATCATTTTCGAATGATTCAAACTTTCCGATGACTTTAGATAATATATCTTTCTGTTTTGGAGTAAAAGACGGAAAAGATTGGTTGATATACTTCGATAAATATCCTGTAAGATTATTATTATTAAAAAAAAGGTTTTTATCTATTACCAATATGAAAAAAAAAATCTTTGATATGCAATATTGAAGCAAGTTGAATAAGAGGGTTCTTATCTATTTCTTGTCCTCTAGATAAAATAAGCACGGGTCGAAGTGTTGCTTTTATATCCTGAATATCAGCAGCAGCGAAGACCAACTTTGTATTATTTAGTAAAAGGACGAGTCGCTGGAATAATAGAACAGAAAAAAAGATAAATATATATAAGGAAAAAGAAGAGAGAAAAAAATAAGAGACATATGAAAAAGAAAGACAAGGAAAGAGTAATATTTAAAATAGAAGAAAGAAAGAAAGAAAGAAAGAAAGAAAGGAGGGATTGAAGTGAAAAAAGAAAGTGCGAATATGTTGAATGTAAAGAAAGAAAAGAAGAAAAGATGATGTTATAGATAAAATAGTGTATAAAAGGAAGAATGTTATAAAAATATTTCTTGAAAATGAATAGGAAAAAATGAAAATAAATGAACAGGAATATTACGAAAATAAGAAAAAAAAAGGAAAAGATGAGGAAAAAGAAATAAAGTTTATGCCAATAAAATGAAAGAAAGAAAAAACTCAATGAAAATAAAAGACACAAAATTTGGAGAAATAAAGAAGCAAACAAAGAAAATAGAGAAAGAAAAAGACAAGAAAAACAGACAAGAAAAAAAGAAAGTAAAAAGAGAATGTAAAGCAGAACGAAAAACAGATAGAACAAAAACAGAACGAAAAGATAGAAAGAAAAAGAGGAAGAAAAAGAGGGAGAAAAAGAGGGAGAAAAAGAGGGAGAAAAATGTGAAAGAAAAAGAAAAAGAAAAGAAAAAAAAAAAAAACAGACAATAAAAAAGAGAAAGAAAAAACAGACAGGAAAAAAGAAAAAGAAAAACAGAAAGAAAAAGAAAAAACAGAAAAGAAAAAAGAGGAAGAAATAAGAAAGAAAAACAGACAAGAAAAAAGAAGAAAAGAGAAAGAAAAAGAAAAAGAGAAAGAAAAAAGAAGAAAAACAGTAAAAAGAGAAGAAAAACAGAAAAAAGAGAAGAAAAACAGAAAAACAAACAAGAAAAAAGAAAAAGAAAAACAGACAAGAAAAAAGAGAAAGGAAAATAGAAAAAAAAACAAAAAGAGAAAGAAAAAAGAGAAAGAAAAACAGACAAAAAAGAGGAAGAAAGAAGAAAGAAAAACAGACAAGGTAAAAGATAAAGAAAAAACAGACAAGAAAAAAAGAGAAAGAAAAAAAAAGTAAATCCGAAGAAAATTATTACGAAAAAATAAAGACTCACTGAGGGGAGAAATATAAAGAAGAGAACAAAAACAAATCACGGAAACAAAAAAGAAAAAGTAAAATGAGAGAAGAAAAAAATCTGAGAAAACAACAGGTAAAGAAAAAGGATAATTTTTGAAAACAGGAAAGGAAAGATGAAATCAATTATTAAATTGTGAGATAAAATAGAGAGAAAGCAAGAATGGTAAAATCACGAAAAAAAGTGGAAAGAAAAAGGCTTGCAAAAGACGAACAAAAAAGGAAAGAGAGAAAAAAAAAGAAAAGTTTAAAGAGGAACGAAAGAAAGAAAGCAAGACAGAAATCTGTCGGAAAGTGGAAACCGTAGAATACCTGAAAGTCTATTCATTGAAAACCATCTATGAAATAAAAACAGAAAATAACAAATAAGTAAAAAATAGCAGTAAAAGAAATTGAATTTCTCAAATGACAGAGCTATGTAAAAGGGGTACCTCTACATTCATTAAAAAGCTGGAAAGAACATGAAGTTCTTTAAAAAAACCAAAGCAAAAAAAAAAAAAAACAAAATAAAATAGAAACACGTCGAAGAGAAATGTATAGCAAAAAGCAAGGCTTCAAGCCATAAATAAGGAAGCTTGAAAATAAGAAAAAGAAGAAAAACAAAGGTTAGTGTAAAAAAGCAACTAAATTGAAGAAAATGTAACTAAAAAAGAAAAAAAAACAAACATCTATCACTGTCTGTAGGTGCGCCTGAAGATAAATCTCAGACCTTGTCTGCCCGAACCAAATTCCTGTAGACATACATATGGAACATTTTGAACGTTCGTAAAACAACATCAATTACAAAAAGTAGAAAACCCTACGCGAAAAGAGAAAAAGAACAAACAAACAAACAGCTTTCTTTCTTGCCGAATGAGAAAAGAATTGTTTGGTAGAAGTTAGCTGGAGAAAACCGACATGTTTTTTTTTGGCAAACATTGAGACTTCAGTGATCTACATTCACACGATAACGTAACGCCAGAATCACATTCCCAATGCATCGGGAAAAGGACTTGCTGACTAGCTATCGACAGTCAAGGCATTAAAATTCTTACATCTATACATTGGTGTATGTTTAGTTTTAACTCAATTTGGCAGCCGATCAAAAAAAAAAAAAAAAAAGATAATATCCTATTTAGCAAGCAGATATAACAGAATATACGGAGCGTGTATGAAAGGCATTTTGTCTACAAATGTTTATTGTAATGTACCATAAGACCTGGTTATTCCGAATACGTACGTGGCACGACCATCAGTCCTAAATATCATCACACTAGATACAGTCAAACATTTGGATGCTTTTCTTTGACATGTAAACTGTTTTTGTAGGATGAGCAATAACACTTGTATATACCACGTAGTTACTTCAGATTTTAACCTAGATAAATAATATACAACTGGATGGTGTTTTGGAAATAAACCAGCTGTTTATAACAAAACGTTACTCATTACTTTTCATCACAATTCTAGACCGGATAACAAGTACGGGAACTGATCCCATTTTAGCCCCCAAAACACCATATGTGGATAAACAACACAAATAATGCAGATTGTACAGTTGATAAAGGAAATATTGCGCCGACGATAGACGATAGACACCTCTGAATAAATGTATTGAAAATCAGACTCCACAGAAATTAAAAAAGGGTATATATAAACATGAAATGGCACCTTCGCCACAGATTGCCAACGGGTTGGTAATTAAAAATTAAGGTGCGTATTTGCATTCTACGCTCATATTACTGGCCCCAAAATTGTACTATTAGAAATCCTTCTATTGTTAGATCGAAGACAATGTTACGAAAAACCGATAGAAAAAGACAGTTGTGTAAGAACAGGCTGAGATCAATAATATAATTTGAAAGGAGATCTATCTATCTATCTATCTATCTATCTATCTATCTATCAGGAAGCGTGGACATTGTAAGACAGATATAGGTATTTATTTATTGAGAATAGAACTATCACAAAGAGATCAGAAAATACAAAATCATCAAGTGAATTTGGAGAGCAGTTGTTCAGTTATACATGTTTGACTAAAGAGCAACAGATTTTTTTTATTAATGCTTTTTAAATTATTATTTTCTATGGTTCGGACCATTTACTAAGTTTTCGATATACATGTAAATATAAGTTGCCCAGTTTCTGACGTAATTTATAGTTAAAGAGTTTTTCTTTTTCATCATTTTCAGATGTCGTATCTTGCGTCCTCTCGCGAGAATTAAAGTTATATTTTTCTTTTATTATTAGGATGTATTAAATAAGTTGAGTCTTAAAGTTGATAACATTTTGTTGATGCTGATTGTTTCATTTTTAGGTCTAGTGTTTATGATAATGTAGACATTTATTTAAAATTCATGAAATAGAGTATTTTTGTGTTATTGCTTATGATTGGTCGGATATCATTTTTATGTTATGTTGGTTAGTGACATGCAAGGGAATTGTTCTCTTATCCGATAAACAAGGCGTTAAATGGCGTGTTAATATAGCAATAGGAAACTTGTGTATATGTTGTATAAATAATTATTATTTAAGAAGAATTCTCCAAGTGAGCAAGCGATATTTATATACATAGTTATGTGTATACGCTTTTACATATATATATATATATATATATATATATATATATATATATATATATATATATATATATATATACCGGACAGTATTCGTAACATTTCTGACAACACAAATATACACAACACAAATATAATAGCATCGTCTACAAGCGAAAAAAGGCTAAAAATAATGGAGGCTTTATTAATAAAAGCAAAACTAAACAACACTTAGTAATATCAACTATGAACAGGGACACAATATCTTGACCGTGTTTTGAAAATATGAAAACATTATGTAAATACATACATGCAACAAACGATTTCTTATTTAACAGTTAAAATATTTCATCCTTGAAAATGGTTAAATGTATAGCCAGAAGTGCTCTGAATAATAATAAAAAAAACACATTTGTACAGTTTTTATATAATTTATCACCTTCAAAGATAAACAAATATTAGATCGCATGAGAAATTGAATAAAGAAATTTAAATCCAAGCACCTTGTCTGCCCTATTCAATGAAATGTGCATGACAGAAGGATTGCTGCCTAAATACACACACGCACACACACACACACACACACACACGCACGCGTGTGTGTGTGTGTGTGTGTTGGATTCCGGGTTGAAATCCGGTCTCAAAATGAATGACAAACGCAGGAATTAAATATAGCAAATAAATGTATTGACGTAATAATACAATTGGTAATACGGTTAGTAGATCCAGAAATGCGGTTAGTAGCAATAATAACATATATACAATCTGGGAAATTCAGTATCAAAGTAAGACTTCTTTCTGAGTCTACGTGCTCGCAACTGTGACTCCTACAAAGCGGTTACCTCACACTCTAACTGTATCAGTGTATCTCTGTTACTGACTCTATCACCCGGGTATTCTCCGGTACTAGTACGCACTGGGCGAGTTCACTTGTATGAAGAAGGGTTTGACCCCTTAACACCTTCCTCCTTAGATCCCTTTTGTGGGGGAGTTAGTATTTTTTTCTCTTATGGTCGATAACCAGAGGTTCGGCAAATTTTCTCTTCCTGTTTTAAATGATCTCTTGGGTACAATAGGTGTATACTGGTTTTTGTTCTTGTTTGGTAATAATTTGTCAAACATAGACTGTATTTTTACCTTCGTCCTCTGCATAAATTCATCCTTTTCCGCTTCTCTTCTTATCTCTCGCAAAGTCACAGGTAGTTCCTTTACTATCTTGTATAGCTTTTTACTGTTTTCATCTATGGTAGCAAATGGCACGTTTCCCTGCTTTTTACATACTGGCTGGACGTTTTCTTTTAATTCGATTCTGGCCTTAAATTTGTTGCATCGTCCCAACCCGCTCGAAAATACCTCAGGAAATTTGTTATATAATTTTTCCTTTAATTTTATAGTATCTGATGGTTTAACCTCTAACTTTTTGCAAAAAAGTGCTGATAGGTAGGTCCCAAACGTTGAACCTTTGCATCTAGTCGATACCTACTAGATTTTCAGTATCTTTCATGACGTATATCTTAAGTTTTTTGTTTTTCCGTGAAATTTAACATTCACGATTATTTCTCCCTCGAATTTTATTCGCTTGCCTGTAACTGACTTGGCAATTTTTGTGTATGTAACATGGTAGATCTGTTGAGTTTTCTCTATGTCTGTAGATTGATTATCGTGAGGTCGGAACCCGAAACCATTTGCAATTTTATCTTTTTATTTAAAATTTCCAGTTCCACATATTTTCTTATGTTGGTGTTGTCTTCGTTATGCATCCTAGTAGCTCTTATTCTACTAGTATCTTTTCTATTCCTGCATTGGGATGCCTTGTGCCCCATTTTCCACACTCAAGACATCTAAAACGGCAATCCGTGTTCCAATGTAGTCCTCCACATCGATAACATGCTGATGGGGGTGGTTATATTTGCTTCGATTTTCGTCACAATTTGTCCTGTATATTGTACTTTTCCTATTATTATAAAATTTCTGTTTTCTTTCCGGGAAGGGTGAGAATCTTTTTTATTATTGTAGAATTTTTGTTTTCTTTCCGGGGAGGGTGAAGATGTAGACATTTGTTTAACTTACTTATATGAGATACAGCTGACTCCTCAATATCCTTCGCGTCTTTCTTTATACTTAGGCATCTTTGGCAATCCTCCGATAATTGTTGTAGTTTTAGTCCAGGTTTATTTTGTAATTTTGAAAGCATTCTTTTGCGCATTTCGCTATCTTTTGTTGAAACTAACCCTTGAACAAAGATGAGACATTTGAAATTCTCCGGGGTTAATTCCGCTAGTTTGAAGTCGTCGCAATATTTATTTACGATTGCGGCAAACGGGGAATAATCCCCATTATCGCCCTTTACCAGGTTAAGGCACTTACACCTCCTGTGGAAGAGTGATGTTTTCGGGCTGAAGAGTTCTTTAAGACATGTCACTGCTTCGTCAAATGTTAATTCGTTCGTCTTTTTTGGCAAGATATAATCCACGAACTTTGTATATTCTTAAGTTCCTAATTTTCTAAGGAATAGACGTAGCTTTTTTGCTTCTGTCCAATTTTGACAGTCTATGTTAAGGATGTCTTCATGTCTTCTGAAGTAATCTCCAAAATTTTTGTCCTCATCTAAAGAATATTTGAAAATCTCTATGATATCCCACACTACGTCTTCCGAAAATGTTGCTTTTTCAATATCTAATTGCTTGTTGCCCGCTACTTTCAATATTAGTTCTTGGAGCTCTGTTTGTCTATCTTGATTTTCCTTTTGCGTTTGTAATAATTGCTTTTGCCAAGATATAATATTATTATTTGTATATTATTCAGTTCCTAATTTTCTAAGGAATAGACGTAGCTTTTTGCTTCTGTCCAGTTTTGACAGCCGATGTTAAAGATGTTTTCATATCTTCTGAAGTAATCTTCGAAATTTTTGTCCTCATCTAAAGGATATTTGAAAATCTCTATGGTATTCCAGACTGCGTCTTGCGAAAATGTTGCTTCTTTTTCAATATCTAATTGCTTATTACTCGCTACTTTCAATATTAATTCCTGGAGCTCTATTTGTCTTTCTAATTGCTTTTGCCATTTTTCTTACATTCTTTCTTGTAGTTGTAATTGTTGATCATTTTGGTATTTTATCAGTTCTACCACAATATTTTAAAAATCTTCCATAATAACTCAATTTTACGTATTTTTACTCCTCGTAACTCTTTGTCGCTAATTTGTTGTTCTTCCTGTGTGAGTTCAAATCGCTCGTCGTCAATTTGTTGTGAACGAGAGGAGGATTTTTCTATTTCTTCTTCTCGTGTGAGTTCGAATCGCTCGTCACCAATTCGCTGTGTACGACAAGGGAATTTTTTTTTGTATTTTTGGTTTTTTCTTCCCGTGTGATTTCGAATCTTCGTC